CCACGCTCACCAATTTATAGATTGGTTGATACTTAAAATAATTATAATTAGATTTTTTATATGTGTATGGATGAATCTCACTGTCATAGGGAGATCACCCTTGTGTGATAGTTAAATAAATAATAATAGTAATAAAATGTTTTTTTAACACGCGGACCAAATGCTAGTGAATTAAAAAAACTTTGTTCTCAATGTTTTCCTCCAGCATCCGCGAATAACTCATTTTCAACAACATTAAACAGATTAACCAGAACCCGGAAATAAACATTGCGTTTCGCTGTAATGATTCGAACCGAGGCTAAAAGAAATGAGAAAATATTGCAGGTGAAAGTTCTCAGCGAGTAAAACATTTAGAGGAAGCAAATATAAATCTTTTCCGAGCTGCTAAATCATAAACTTCATGTCGGCCCTTTTCCTCTCCCCTTGAGTCTTGTTTTCAGGGTTAAGAGACACTCAAGTTATTTCTTGATATACATTTTAGGTACCACGGATTCTCAAGCCCGAGACTGATCTTTTTCACCAGCCAAAATTAATCTATTTTTAGATTTAGAAAGAGACGCGCCAGTCAGTCATACTTCCAAGTGCTGAGAATCAGGGAAAAAATTTGGGTGAGGAATGGTGGAGAGGTAGAAGCGATTTTTGAGTTGGGTAAATAGAAGAAGTTTTGGGAATTATGGTAATGTAAGTAAAATAACAGAAATTCTTCTCTATTTGAGAGTTCACTGTTTAGCAGGATCTTTCCGGTTATTCGTGGAATGCTTATCCGAGTGAAGTAGATCTTAAATTTATGGAAACCGCAGGAATTTAAAGGGATGTGGGTGACATTTCCCAGCTAAATAGCAAAATACTCCGGGGACATATGACTTATCTGTAGAGTTATGATATGAAATACCTTAATGAGACATTTTGAAAGGAATCACTGGAGCTGAATTCTCATGAAGATTTTCATTACCTGCAAACACTTGCCCTCGACATTTTTTTTATTAGCGTAATTTACCGTTTAATTTTTATATTTTAAATAATGGGTATTTCTCTGCGGATATTGAATGACAAATGGATAAACATTTTCGGATCGAAATACGAAAGTTCAGATTCTCCTTTTACTTCGAGAAGTTTTTTCGGTTGGAAAGCTTTTCGATTTTAATGAAATCTCTCATGATCACCAGCACACGATAAATCCAGTGAATGTCAGAAAAAAAATCATCTTATATTTAATTCCTGAAAAATTTAGACGGGAATTAACTAGTAGCTTTTCAAAAGTTTTTCACCTCTCAACCCATTTCACGGTGAATATTTCGCGAGATAAACAAAAAAGCGAGAAATCCCGTTGAAAAATAAATTAATTTCATTATGTATGCTTCGTAAATTATTTCATTTCACAATTTCTAAATTAGTCTTGGCCGATATCCGAGTGGTAAAATAATCCGTCAGACATCATTCGCATTTAAAAATTAGTCGCATATTTTCTCCCCGAGCTTCCCTACCTAGGAGTGCGCGAAATTTACCAGAAAAACCTCTCGGAAATTTCAGAAAACTTCACACAATCGTTCCTAAGTGACGAAGCTGTCAGGAAATGTCAGATAATTTTGACAAACTACTGCAAAATCATTCCAATTTTTCTCTCACGGTTTTGATTGTGCCAATAATAGAGTAAATTTACATGAAACCTCTAGTCTTCAAAGAATTTCCCTTTCCTCTCCGCAAGTCTCTTCTAAACGAATGTGAAATTACTCTCTGATATTCTCCATCCACATTTTTTCAAACTACTGTCAGGGGGACTTTTACTCTCTAATATAGGAAATATTATTATCAATATTATCAAAATCTATTAAAAAAATAACGATTTTACGAGGCTACACTCGCGCAAATATATTTAATGTATCCACCAAATATATATCTGATATATTGCAATTTTAACCGGAAGATATAAACGTATAATGAATATATTTCGCCTATATAGTGAGTGCCATGTCGTACAGACATCCCTTAAAAAAAAATCCGATGTAACGTTTTTTCAAGCCGGTTTATTCGATATATAATAATATATATAAATATATATATATATATATATAACTATATATTATTATACATTATTATTATTATTATTATTATTATTATTATTATTATTATTATTATTATTATTATTATTTATATATATTCATTTTATTAAAAAAAATTGAATTCCGATTCTTATATATCTATCGTTAAAAAACGAAATAGAAATTCATGTAGTAGTACCACAAAAATAACAATACGCGCGCGTAGCGCGTTTATCTCTAGTTAACAATAATTATCATCAAAGTAAAAATAAATAATTAACTCATGCATTAAATTTTAAAGAATTAAATTAATTGTGGTTTACCTGAAGTTTTGCCAACGGGATAATATCGCAGTCTGTTGGCCGATGCCACACAGTTTTCTGTGACGTTGCATTGTAATAATAAAATCTCGAGGTATTTTGATCGAACAACTCCCACCATTGATTGTTGTCTGTCTTCTTCCTGTAATAGAATCAAGAGAAAAAAAGTCACATCCTCGGTACCAATGGGAAACCCCTGTAGAATCAATAAAAGCCTACGGGTCTATAAAATAATCACTGAAGTTTAGGTGTGTAAAAAAATTCTCACGTACACATGAACTCCCGGTGGAGGATCCCAGACACATTCACCGGTCGTCAGATTGGCGTACATGTGCTCTTTGGTTCGAGGCTCGATTATCTCCACCCATTCCATTCTGCTGTAATGTTAATGAAAAAAACGAATATATGAATTATCAATGAAAAGTTTTCTGGATTTTACTGGCTTTTCCAACCCTGCCGCGAGATTATCCAATAGTTCGTCATGCAAATTGTTACGGAAATCCAATAATATTTCATTAAATATGCAGAGCAATTCAGGATATCCCACATTCTCATCAGCTAAATGAGTCATTTTTTTTCTCATTTCAATCAATTTTGTCAATTCTTCGAAACAAGTTTTCTGTCATGAGTATGATTAACAAGTTAGTATAATTGCGTTATAGTTAGTACATCCAAAAAATATATTTTGAAATAGACTTGAAATGAATTATATGAGTTGATTTAAATTTTTTAAACATTTATGAAGCTCTATATAATGGTATATTATATACCTAGGCCGGTAAAAAAATACCAGGCATTTCTTTTTTCACTGGCCTAGGGAGAATGAATTGTATACGATTTTTCTGGTTGACAAGCCAGAGCTGAATCTTTTAATGATAATAATTATAATTAATTACGGATAATTTTCCAGAGCAACTTAATTGAAATGACCGAAACCTAATGGAGAACTTCTTAAAATGACTCCATGGGAGAAATACGGAATTAAAAGATTGAGGCCCTGGTGGACTATCTTTTGTTTAAATTTTATCTCTTTAGCCTAAAATGCATTTATATTTGGGATCAAATTTGTGTAGCGGGAGCTACTCGAATGGTTATAAAAAAATAATGAAAAAAAAGAGAAAAAATTATTGAAGGGCACTAAATAGCGATATTGTTTAAAAGGGGTCTACCAAGTTTACAAAAAAATAATAAAAATTACGCAGCATACCATTGCCCTCCAGAAGATTGAGAGACAGCTAGATGCAATAGTAAGCTACGTATTTTTTATTATTTTTTAGCAAACTTGGTAAATCCCTTTTAAATAATATCGATCTTTAGCGCCCTTCAATAATTTTTCCCCTTTTTTTTCATTATTTTTTCCTGTCCATTCAAATGCTTCCCGCAACGCAAAATTAATCCCAAATTTTAATGTATTTTAGGTTAAAAAGATAAAATTTAAACAAAAGTCGACGTTCGATAGATAATCCACTCGGGCCTTAAATATCGCGAAAATATTTTTCATCTCAAGGTGTAACAAATCTTTTTTATTTTCAAATTTAACTCCCTGAAGTTTAACAATAATGTTTGATGGCGAAGAAGATGTGAGAATTAATTAATAGATAAATATTGATTTATTGATGCTACTTTACAGTTTTACATCAAGAGAAAATTAATAATAATAATCAGTTATTTTTTAATTATTTATCCGAAATGTGTGTTATGTTAGGATTAGTTAGCAGATTTTTAACGAAATTATTTTTTGATTAAAATATTGCTGATGACGGTTTTTGATATTTTTTTAACAGAAAATGTTTCGACGTGCATTTCTTGTACATCAAAGACTCAAAGGGAGGTCTTTTTGTAAAGTTTCAAGAAATGGAAATACATCTGAGGAAAGAAGCCTGTAGAGCAAATTAGAGCAAGAATCAATATTTTCCAAGGGGTAGTAATGCAGTGGTTTCTCTCTTTAGACTCGTTTCATCTTTGGAAGTTGTATACAGAAATTTGAGCAATAGACCTATGATATCTTCTTGACGGTTTACAATGGATTGCTACTCGCCACGACTTCACAATTGTGACCTGTGCTACTCTACTTTTACAATTATTACATTATCGGATCTTTTATGCATTTTCTTGGCAATCTTCTTGAGTGGTACGTGGAATATTTTAGAGATGATTTAACTGCTGACTTTTCTCGGATTCTGGAGAAACTTTTTCGCTATCTTTTCACAGAAATCCAGAACTTTCATGGAAAAAGTGCAAAGTCGTAATCTCGAAAATGGAAAACGATCATTTTTCTGGATAGCGATGTAAAACTGTAAAGTAGCATCAATGAATAAATATCTATCTATCTATGTATCTATAATTATCTATAATTCTATCTATAATTTTTCTGGAGGTTTAAATTTGATCATTTTAGCCTAAAATACATTAAAATTTGTGATCAAATTTGTGTTGCGGGAAGCACTTGAATGGACATAAAAAAATAATGAAAAAAGAGAGGAAAAATTATTGAAGGGCGTTAAAGAGCGATATTGTTTAAAAGGGATCTATCAAGTTTACTAATAAATGATAAAAAATACGTAGCTTACCATGATGTGACACATTGCATTTGTGGCCGCAATTATATATCAGATATATATACATCTATATATAACATATATAATGAGCTACGTATTTTTTATTATTTTTTAGTAAAGTTGGTAGACCTCTTTTAAACAATATCGCTCTTTAGCGCCCTTCAATAATTTTACCTCTTTTTTTTCATTATTTTTTTATGTCCATTAATCCAAAATTTTAATATATTTTCGGCTAAAAAGATCAAATTTAAACAAAAGATGACGTTCGATTGATGGTCCACCCGGGCCTTAAGGTAATTATTACTCGGAATTTAGGAAAGGCGCAATTGTTTTGTTGGGAAGTCATTTTACATTTTCATTTTTAGCATGAATAATTGAAAAAAATTGAGGCATTGTTCGATATTATTAATTAATGTTTTGCAGTGCTAAGTTTAGAGAAATTAGGAAGTTTACTTTTAGAAAAATTGCTCGTGGTCAAGACCTTTTTTTCATTAATTTTTTTTCTAAAAAAATCACTTTGTTCCTCAAAACTGTAAAGATTCTGTCTGTATTTTAACTTTTATCGACAATTGCAAACTCTTGTAACACCAATTAATCAACAAATTTATAATTAAAAAATTTAGATTTTGTAATCTTTTCAATACTTTCTCAATAATTATGAAAGGTCCTAAAGGCGTAATAGAAGAAATGTTTCACCTCATTACCGAGTTTGCAATTGCAATTGTTAAACTTGCAATTTCATAATTATGAATTGTTAAATTATCTGAGTAATGTAGTAGAGAATAATTGTTAAGACCGCTTTAGTAAAAAACTTCATAAACAACAAAAGGGCTTTCCACATCCTCTCATTCAATCAGCCATTCATGAGATAATTACATAATTAGCAAACTTTTTATAGTTAATGACTTCTTTTCCATTACTGAATCATTCCCGTAAAGATTGCTGCAACAAACGGAAAATTCTCTCTGAAACTGCAACTACTTTTTTACCTTTTAATTTTCCCAATGATGAACTAAATTAGCAAAACTCTATTTTAAAAAAAGCTTCATAAATTACCCAGAAAGCTTGCCTGACACTTCATCACTCTCCCTCCTAATTGAGACGATTAAATGACTCAGAATTTTTTCCAAATAAAAACGAAGAGTGAGAGATTACGTCAAGTGAAAAATCAGTTAAAATCCTGTTCGACCTAAACACTAGTATTTTTCATGCCTGAACCGTGTGAGCCACTGCACAAAAAAAAAGGCAATAAATCATTTGAAAAATCGGAGGTCCCAGTGGCTATCACTTCCGGAAACTGATAAAATCCATTGTAATTCTTCCAATAGAAAGAATAATTCCAATAAAATAATTCCAATAAAAGAATAAATATACATCATTCAACTCATCTCCTCTATATATTCTACATTTATCCAAGAAAACTAGAATTGACGTCCCTAACACAATGAGAACGATAGTGAAGCTGATGTCATACACCCATGTTATTGCTCTCCCTTGTCAATTTAATTGGCTCCAACGAGGCTGAGAAAGTATATACCCATTACATACCACTCGTTACACTTCCCACCAACAAACCCGCGTGAAAAAAAAACAATTGAATTATAAATAATACCGATTCATTCCAAAAAGAACAATCTGATATTCGTTTTAGCATTTTCTAATCATGGAAATACCCAAAAAATTTAATGCCCACATAAAAAAGATGATTGCTGTTTCAGAATTACTTTTAGTAATCCTCCATTTTAGGGTTTAACAATAAAGTAAGAATTTTCAAGTTAAGGCCCGGCTGTCGATATACTATCTATTGAACGTCGACTTTTGTTTAAATTTTATCTTTTTAGCCTAAAATACATTTGGGATTCAAATTTTCTTTAGCCAATAATATTTACTAACCACCAGTAAATCCGGCAGTCACTGTGTAAATACTCCCCTAACACTTCCTAACGCCAAATATATTTTCTTCGTAAATATTTTTGACTAGAGAAAATTTTTCTCTCATTGTAGGATAAGTGTTTTTTTTTTGGGCCAGTTTCCAATTCATTCCCCGAAATTGAAGGAAGATAATATTTTTATCGATACCTTTTTTGTAGCTTTCATCTTTTCTATAAAACACACACGGATTTAGGCGATTGTTGGATTTTGTTTATTGAATGGATAAGTGATAAATTAAATGTAATGCACGTTTGCTTGTAATTCTAACTGAATTTCCCATGGTATTCAAACCATCATCTGTTCAACTTCCAAGTAGCACAAAAGATATTAGTATTTCGAACTTCAATTCCGTTTTTCCTTGAAATGAGGATTGATTTTCAACGTTGAAGTTCTATAATCGGATTTTTTCTCTCAAAATTTTGAGAATCTCTCAAAATGGTTCGAATTAACCCAAGAATACGCCCAGAAAAATAATTGCTTTTCCCAAATGAATTTAGCAACTACAGGGAAATCTACACATTTAAAATGCAAATATTTATACATTATATAAATATTTATAAATATACGAATATTTATACATCTACTGGTGTCAAGTGAATTAAAGTGACAGAAGTAAATAAATTTAGAAGTATTTTGCTCTCACTGCATGCGGCTGTCTCCAAATTCTATGTCAAGGACCCACCCCGGAAAGTCCCACCCCATTTTTCACCCCCACCCCTCTCATTTCCCTCAATTTCTAAAATAAAAATCTCAAAGATCCCCCCAAAAAAACAAATCGAAAAATCCGCAAAAAAAGTTCAACTGAAAGAAACAATGATCGATTACCACAAGCAATAAACTCTCCCACGATAACTTATTAACCTATCAACCCCGTGCCACCTCTACAAAATGCATGGATGGCCTCGAGCCCAAAAGCCACCCCTAAAAATCAATTAAAAGATGAAAAATAGTCTCACCTCAGTGTTTCCTCGTTGCCTCGAAGAAAAAATAAACAACACTAACAATAGAGAAAAAAAAAAAAGCACAATAGTAGGAACCCTAGTTGAACCTTTTCCTTCAACTTCCGCCCTTAAACCTCACCCTCACTATTTCACATTCCCCAAAATCTTTTCACAATTATCACTCCAACTCGGTGTATTGATAAGTACTTAGTAGATTGTCTAATCTAGGGTGAAAAAATAATGATAAAAGCCTTTAGTTTTAGCTAATAATTGCACATTAGCCTGAGCACGGGTAGAAACCCGTCCTATCACCGTCGGCCATCTTTCTCAGAACACCGATATATCACGATATCATATACAAACGCACACTCATCATCTTTCAGTTTATAATCCTCTGCATTAATGAGTGACAGAAGACACGTGGGTTTTCGGTATATTCACACGATAAATTCATTCCTCATGTGTTCAATGTACGATTTACATTTTTAATGTTCAATTTGTCAGTGTTAAAGTTTTTTTTGAGTTTTCTTTGGGTTGTGGTACATTTGCATCGAGTCCTCGAGGGTTTCACTTCCACTAGTTCCAGGATATTTCAGGGGTGAACATTTTCACGGGTTTTAACGAAATTTTTTCACTGGGGATTGCACACATTTTTACTTTCTTATTTTATTTTTATTTTTGGGAACGTTTGGAGGAATTTGATGGACTGTACAGAGGTTTAGCTGCTGACTGAGACTCTGTGGGGGAATGCACTACAAGATCTTGTACTATGTTTGACATTTTATGTGTAAGTGTATGTCGAACGTTTGGGAAGGGGGGGTAAGGGGTTTTTGATTGGTTTCAACTGATGGTAAAGAAGTCGTGGGGACATCTGCAGAGGGTAAGGCCTCAGATAAGATACGATTTGCTCAGAAGATAATTTCGATATTCTCTCAATTTTCGCGTTTTTTGGAAATTTCTGAAAAAACGCGGATCCGATTGATGTGAAAAAATATATTTTTAGATTTGATCGTTATTCTATCACTCACTAATTTTTATCGTCACCCGTCTATTTTTATAAACGAGAACGAACGCGCGCTGTAATTAAAAAAAGCCCGGTGTAATTAAAAAAATCGTTTTTCACCCGCTAGTTTCTAAGGAAAAATAATGACGAGACTTTAAGTCTTGAAATTTCGTTTACGTAAATTCCTTGGAGATTCTCAAAACTGACATACTCTAATGTATTTATTGAAATAAAAAAGAATAATATAATTTTATAATTTTTAATATTTTTATTTTTTAACAGAATATACAATTTCCCAAATCGCTCATGACACATTTCGATTCTCGAAATCTTTCCTCGAATTTCGAGTTTTGAGGATAATTCAGGAATTGATGATAACAACCGAGTAATTTTTGTTGATAAGGAAATGGCCTTGCAGTAACAAATTCATTGGACAAGCAATTTAATGAATTGTCTGTCACGGCGTAACAGTGACGTTGTTACCAGTTGTTACATCGTGGTGGATTAATTTTATCACACCCAAAGCTATTTTGAATAAATTCAAAATTTTGTTAAACTAAATGTTTAATAATATTCACTCCATTCCAAATAGTGACTCACAATTGGTAGGTGTACTCTCTTTGCAGTGAAAACTCAATTGTTTTCGAGGATACACCTATTCATATCAATAACAATGGATCCAGAGGTATTGACGACCTTAAAACTCCTCATGATTGGAGAATCGAATGTTGGAAAGTCCAGGTATGAAAGATATGTAATAATTGATATTAATTACAGGCATAAGTTGCACAATTACTCCGGTTGATTGCATTTATTCAATGACATTGCGTTTTGATCTTTCGATTTTGATGGACTTATGGTTGAATTTTAAAAAATATTCTTGTTCATTTCATCATGATATTCACGTGATGAGGAAACTTGTTTGTTCAGTATTCTATTGAGGTTCACTGAGGATGAGTTTTACGAGAACATGCAGAGTACAGTGGGAATGGACTACAAAACTAAACAAATAACACTGGATGGAGACACAGTAAAATTAGCAATTTGGGTTCGTATTGTTAAAAATTATTTGTAATCAAAATTAATTACGATGAATTGAGTGATGATAGTTGTGCTCTCAGTCCTTCCCTTTCCAGTTAGGAAAATCATAAAATTCTGATGAATTTACACGTTAAAAATGAAACGATTTTCTGTGCTATCAAAATTTTTTATTATAATCGTTTCTATTTAATAAATTTCGAGAAGAAAATCTTCTAATGACTTGGGCTGAAAAATCATGACTATTTTGTTACTTCAGTGATCTTCAGTGATATTGCTACTTTTCATCCAATTATATGATATTAATATTATATTTTATATTATCTTTACTTAATTCGTCATTTTGATGTACAATTCGTCGCAAGCAGCAATTGACGAATTCCATTAAAACCAAGATGAAAAATAATATTATATTCAATGTAACCTTCCGTCCTTTTGAGAGTTATCAAAAATTTTCCGTTAAGATGCTATCGCAATTGTTTTTTTTTCCTATCAGAATCTTTTCTTTTGTTATTAAAAATAGATTGGAATATGTAATGTGTAATGTTTGATTGATTTTAATTATTTTATAATTTATCTAAACTCACAGATTTGACGCAAAAATGTATTTTTCTTCTTTCATATAATATTTACAGTCCAAAATTTGAATAGCCTAATTCCGGGCAGGTATACGAATACATAAAATGGTTGTTTATTATCAAATATATTCAACTTTTTTCATCATAATTTTTTCAAATTAAATGATAATCATTTTTAGGATACTGCAGGCCAAGAACGTTTTCGAACACTGACCCCAAGTTACTACCGCGATGGCCAAGGTGCTATATTGGTCTACGATGTAACAGACAGGAACACATTTATCAAGCTAGAAACGTGGCTAGAGGAGTTGAACACGTACTGCAATAAAATTGATATTGTTAAAATGGTAGTGGGAAATAAAATTGACTTGCCAAATAGAGAAGTCTCGATTGAGGAAGCTCTGACGTTTGCTAGGAGACACCAGACATTGTATATCGAGAGCAGTGCAAAAACTGATGATGGTGTCAAGTGTTGCTTTGAAGAGCTCGTGCAAAAGGTATTATTAAACCTCAACAATGTTTCGGTATTTTCAGTAAAGATGATTTTATCATCTTGTCCAAACATTCTATAATTTTTTTTATCTAATAATAGAATATAGGGAACTCAATTCCTTGATGACTTTTTTTTCTACACAGGTTCTTTTGGAATTTATCGGTAGGAAAACGTTTTTGTAGAGATAATGGGAAACATAATTCACCAAGAAATTGTTATTTGAATCAGCAAAGTTTTATCCTATCGTTATTGTTATTAGACTATTATTCTAAAAATGTGGATGCAATTAGCGAATAAATTTCTTTATTGCACCACGCACTTTTTTTTATAAAAATTGGATTTCTTGTTTACACCGAAAATCATAATTAAAAAAAAATGACGCTTTATAAAAAAAATATTTTTTGTTTTACAGAATAATTCCTGAATAAATTATACTTCTTCAATTTTTTTCATTCTGTAATGAAAGAACATAATTAATGAATTGAGTTCAGTTGATAAAATTGAATTTTTAGCAGAGAATTCAAATTTTTCAATTTATTTTTATCTGAACTTATTGTATAGTGTAGATATAACTTAATTGTAATTTAACAGATTAAAAACATTTTCATCATCTGGATTTTTTCAAGGGACGCCAATTAAATCCTAAGAGAGTCCGAGGCAAAACAAAAATTTTCAATTGTATTACATTAATGGAAAGAAATGCAAATAGAATCATTGAGATTCACATAGCTTGATAAAATTTTATCTGTCAATTTGAAACTATTGAAAAATGATGATTTATCATCACTGACAGAAGCCATTATTTTTTTCAGATTATTCAAACCCCCGGTTTATGGGAATGTACACGTTCGAGAGGATTGAACAGCCCTGGAGGCAGTGGACCGAGACAACGCTCAGGAAAACGAGGTCTTCGATTAACAGACGACTACGAACCCCAAGATCCAACGTCAAGCTGCTACTGTAATTTGCTCTAATCCAAAATGATAACGACCTATTACACATTTAATTTCTCAATAAATGCTATTTATTTTGTATTGTACATAAGTTACTTGAATTGAATGAAAAATGAATTGATGTCACCGCACTTTTTTCATAATAAAATTTTAAACTGATTTGTTATTAACAACAATTGTCCAACAATTTTCCATAATTCTTGCTTAGTATTTACAAAGTTGAAGTATTCTCTGAAGTTTATCTGAGTTTATCTGAAGAACTTCCTTATGAAATTCATGAGCTCGAAACCGTTTTTTAATTTCTCTATGAATCTCCTAATTCTTCCACAGATATTCCAGGAGTACGTCCGAATTTTTTTAAACAAATACATAACTACGTTAGAATAACTTAGCCCAGGGAACTATATCGTAACTAAATTGCGTCGAAAATTACTTGCGTTTGAATTACAGCAAATAATTCGATGTTCGCATATTGCTTTTGTAATATTATATTTATTAATTAAAATCGCGCTCGCGCAGTGTCTCATTTTGGATGCCATAATTTTATATCTATTCCTCATACACATTTCAAATACGTCAAAGGATTTGAATTCGTATATTTAAAAATTCACCATTGCGATGAATAAATTTTCATGATAATTCTTTAAAACTTCCGTAGTTATCTGCATGCTGCATGTGAGGCAGTGCAATGGCTATTTATATTTGAAATTTAGGTTTATTTGAAGTTATTTATGTATAGGGTTCTTTCTGTTCAGGTTTGATCGTATGCGTTATTAAAAATAAATAGTAAATAATAATTTCAGGATTGAAAGGTTTTTTTGGCAGGGAATTTTAATAGGGCGTTAGCGTATCCAGAAGTCTTGTCTTCCAAGAAAAACTTTACGAAATCTAAAACTAAAGATGAAAGCATTACTCATTCTATTCGATTTTATTAGTAAATCGTATTTATTTTCCTTCTTTATCCATCGTTTACATCACCAACTTAAAAACCTAATGAGACTTTCCAATATTAATAATGATTTTTGTTTATTCCCAGTGCAGTTTAATCATTACTTGAAGTACCATTACAGTTGTGCGTAAAAATAAAAAAGAAATTTAATTCATTTTTAAAAGTAAAATCTACATCTAATTTCGTTCTACCACATAAAACTCTATAGTGAAAATTAGTTATATTACATGGAAGTTATTCATTGGGGGATGGATGAGTGATTTTAATTGTACATTTCGTTCTGGCAGTTCTCATTTTAATGAAGTTTACATCCAATGTTTCAGTCCTTTTTAGTTTATCATTTACTCGTTTGTCTTTTTCACTGCATGAGACGAGCTTAACTACTTTGCTCCTAAATATAAATATGTACGATCGTCCTTATTTCAAATTTTCTGATTTCTGGCGTTGATGTGAAGTATAGAATGTTTTTCTACGCAGAGTTCGATTCATTCGTATTAAATGTAATTAAAATTATAAATTGACATTCCTATTTCTTCCGCGCTGTGATGCCATGGAATATCAATTATAAATGATGGAACACAAACTTTTCCTTAAATTATGCATTTACCCGGTGAACAAATGATTTTGAGACCATTTTTCAAAATTAATGGAATTTTTTATCCGAATTTCTTTAGCAGTCTAGACAAAAAAAACGGAAAACGGTGAAAGATTATGAGATAATTCCTAAATAAACAAGAATTACAAAATGAAATCTACATCATCTCAATAATTTTCACAATTTCTGACAAATACTAGTTTTCTGATGGAATAAAATTTGTTCAAAATTCGATTGATCATTTTACATGCAAAATTTCAATCAATGAGAACAATTGGAGAAATTATTTTTACTATTATGTAAAAGCGCCCACGACTCAGGTACCCTGTAAGGTGATGTCAAAATGAATTAAATATAATTGCCCAAATATTGAATGAGCAATTGTACAGATAACTATTGTCGTCGTGCTGGTTTGACTATTTTATTTAGGCTGAAAATTTCTTGCGAAATTGCATAAAGTGGTAAAAATATGAACGTATCAAAATATATTATTTCCTCAGTTCATTTATTCCGCGGAATTGCAAATTAATCGGAATACTCAGTTTACTGGAGAATTTTTATGGCATAATCAGGAATTATTCGTTCATTTTTCGAGGACAAGTTTAACAATTAGAGTGGAAAAACTAGATGCATTCTTCACATTGATAGGTCATTCTAAAAAAAGAAAGTTATTAAAAAAAAAATCTCTCTTGGCATTTGCATGTTCAATTCACTCGTCAACGAGATATTTCGATGGTTACTATGATGATATTTCGTCTCGATGATTTCACTGCTTTCAATTGAAATATTCCTTTTGATATTGAATTCCACGGTTCGATGAAAATTGTAAAAGATAAAAAATTTAAAACGAAGAAAATTGTTCGAGGGGAGGAATTTAGCACGAGTAGACTTCGAGTTTAGCGAGTTTGGCTCTCTCCTCTTCAGTATCATCTCTAGCTATCATTAATGTATGAGAAAGTCCACAGGTTATTGCTGTTATGTAGAGACCCTCCAGAGCTTTCACTTCCATTGGAGTTGTTGATGATTTTCGCATCTCTCCAAAACCCTAAGCAAATTAATGGAAAACAAAATTAAATATTGGAATTTAACAATCGACTTGTCGATCTTGTACATTATATTCATAATTTTATATTCTATTCGTCAACTAAAAAATATTAAACGATGAAAAATGGGTTTTCAAAATTTGTTCAAGTTATGGAAGCGGTCAATTTTAGAAGTTCCTTTATCAATCTATTATTTTCACCGATTTTATATAATAGTAGTTAACGTGATTCATTGCAAGATGTAATTGTCTAATGCCCGAGCTCTAACCATTCGTATCGGTATATTTTTTTTCATTTTTAGTCTTCTATAGACATCACAAATATGAAAGAATCAGAGTTGCTAAAAACTGAATATCCTTAATAGATCATTTAATTTTAATTAAATCTTCACCGAGATAACTGACACAGACAAGTATATTTTCACACCTTCATCAATTCTTTCCAAAAAAAATACTGTCTGAGACATAAAAATTTTATTAATATTCTCCACTGAAATAACTTCTCTCATGTAAATCAATTTTTTACTTAACAGTACATTCTGCACATTTGTTTAAGACAATTCCGGTTTAGCTCTCAATGTGAAATATTTCGCAATACGCTAAAGACACCGAGTTTGGAAGATATTTTATGCAACGAGCATTGAAGAACGATAGACATAATTAAAAAATCAAATAATCGTGTTTTTCAATTTTTAGTGATCCATTAAATTATCCCAAAATGAAGTTGATGTAATTGAAATGATGTTAATGATTTTGTAGCGTACCCTTAACCCTTTAGCGTATCATCATCATGAATAGTATGTCTATAGCAGATTGCAGAATATTTAATAATAATAAGTATTGCGGAGATGTCCTAACTTGCACAATAATAATATGAATACTCACAAGTTCTCCGAAAGTAGGACTAGCTCCCCAAGCAATGACCGACTCATCAGCAGCAACAACAACACTGGTCTGACTGACTCCAACACACCTGATCTCCCACCCAGAGAGATCAGGAATAGGCTTGGGATACATATTAGCCTCTCCAGTGCGTTTAGTCTGTCCAAACATGAGTGCAGTGCCATGAACATTGATAACAATACTGTAAGTACTACCACAGTGGACGGATCTGACTCCACGATTTGGTGGTTCAAGATACTTGATTAATCGTGGAACAAGTTCATCTTTTTGTTCATTGTGTCCAAGTCTCCCAACTCCCCCAAAGCCCCATGAGAATGCACGACTCTTGCTGTCAATGGCGACAGTGTGATAATATCCACAACTGAAATCAGTGATTTCAACTCTATCCAGAGGCGTTACATGGCCATCTTTACCCCTCTCCACATAGAGGACAATTCGTTTTGGTGATTTTTCAAAGTGAAATGCCATCTTTGTGCTTGTAATGAAGTACTTTCCATCGGTATTGTGGCCGAGTTGACCATTCTCTGGAGATCCGAATGAATGGAGTCCACCCTTTATATCTAGAATCATCGAGAATTCAGCACCACAACCCACTTTGACAATCGGAGCTCCTGCGTATTTAACTTTCGTCGCTGTTGGAATCATTGCGTCTGATTTACCAACTCCACATTGTCCCAACTTGTTGTCACCAGCTCCAAAGACTAGTCCACGACTTGTGAGGAATAGGGTGTGGGCCCGACCACAAGCTGCTGCGATCACGGTATGACCTTTTAGGGCCTCCACCTCGGTTGGATCATCACGACGATTTGTGTCACCTACTCCTAATTGACCTGGGGGAGTAATCACAAATTTTTAAGGAATTATTAACTTCAATTAGATGGCATTCGTCGGTTATTAGTTATGGATATGGAAAAAAAATTGCGCTCTTTTTTTTTGCTTGAATTTTTATACAGAGCACTTTTTTATTTTTCATCTGGAAAATTCTTCATTTCTTCATTTTGAATTCAGAAATGGGAAGCTTTGAAATGGATTTGAAGAATTCTGAATCAACAGCCTTTTTCGTTCTCGTTTGCTACTCGAATAATTATTCTTAAAATATACATTCTCATGTGCCCTGAATTTAAGTCGAAATCTTGGACTATGGATTATTGGATTGATTAAAAATATATTCACTGTACGTCATGTCATACAGAAGAACGACGGTTCAGCATCAGAAAGGAAAGCGAAATCTTAATTGAAATTGGAAAAGAGATTACTCTACCCCAACATGTGGAACAGAGAGGGAGATGAGAATCTTAAATATGATTTAATTCGTCATCAATTATCTAATATTTGAAAAAATGTTAATTTTCACATTCAAATAGCTCAATCCTCTCTGAAATAATTTCATAGAGAATTAATGAGCCATTGCACTGAGCCAAGAAATATTTCATTATTTTTATCTCATTACAGAAAGAACTTTGGAGTTTTTCACCGCGAAAATCACTTGTTTTCAAAATAGCTGTGCATCACTAAATGAGGGAAACTCCGAGGCATTTGATCTAATGATTAATTGCATAATCTTAAGAATGAAAAAAATTTACTGCAAGACTTTTGCGTTATGAAATTACTTAGTATTACATCGTCAATTAATGAGATTTGTTTCTATAACAACTGCCCAAAACACTAAACTTCATAAATCCATGAGTATCCATAAATGATTATTATTATTATTCACATTCAGATTCAGTACATAATGTAAATTCTACGAATCTGGTTATAGCTGTCGTTCAAATTCAAAACGCAAATCTATAATTAATGCGTGAGAATGAAAAAGTCGAAGATTTACTAAATTTAACTGAGAAAATTATAATAATTGTTGAAGGATTACTCTCGTAGTTTATAATATTCCCTAAAAATGTGACCAAAAGAGGTAATTATTTGTTGAAAAAGAATAATTACTGGGATGAATAATGCAAATACGGGGAGATTAGAGAACTTTGCGGTGTTTTCGCATTTACGCGGGGTTTGTTGTTAAGGCGTCGATGTAAAATTACCCTTGTCATTTCTGCCGAACACGAGACACCTGTCGTCCTCTGTGACGACGACACAGTGAGAAGCAGCTGGGCCAGATACGACAAGTCTAACCCTGGCGCCATTGAGATTCTTGAAAGTGTGAGGCGTCCACAAGCTGCGTCCAATGTTCACCTTTGTGCCTTTCGGCGGTGCTTTACGTCCAGCTTGATCCCAATTTGTTAATCCACACATTACGAAAGTTCCTGGTTTACCCCAGCCACCCTGTTGAATAAAAATCAATCATCATCTTTCAACAATTCACTTCAGTATTCCAACACAGAGAACATTATTTTTAATAAATTATCCATTCACTTGACAGAATTGTTTATTATATTCAAAACGGATTTCTCTAAGCAATAATAATATTGAAACAATCCTGATGACGTTTTAATTATGAAAATTATGTAGCAGAAGACAGACGAATTTCGATTACTTCTTAAATATTAATAATTATTGAGAGTTCAGTGAAAAATATCTGGAAATTACTCGAAAAGAGAAATACAGATTTAAAAGACTTGATAGTTCTCTCTAGTGAATAAATATTAATAAATAGTTCGAAATAATATTTTATTTCCAGTGAAATGAATCGAATATTCCAAAAAGGCTGAGTTTCTCTACCAGACATAAAATTGAATAACATATACTGAATGTTTTTTTTGCAAAAAAAATGGTTCTGTACAACAACCAATTGTTACCTTTTGTTTCATAAAATTTAATATAAAACAATAACGCGATCTACAACAACTGGGATATTATCTCTTTTATATAACAATTTTTCGCGCAATAAAGTAGTGATATAATTTTCTAGAGATTGAAATTATTGGAGGAACCTAAAGAATTTTTTTAATTATCGTCAATCGCGTCTATTTATAAAGCTAATCAAATGCGCATCTTAATAATTAATCAATAATTATCAATTTCATAATTGATTAATTATCAAGTAAAGTTTTGATCGCAATTATGGAGTTGTCCCCAATTTCGAAATCTAACGCATTCGAAATAACAACGGAACAAATATTTTTCAATATCTAAACCACAATCAGATGGATTATAACAATTATTCCATACACATAAACACGATCTAAAAATGACCGATTCGACCTTCTAGAGGCTTGATATTATTTCCCTTAATATTTGATTTAATATTCTGAATCTACTTGACCTTATGGTAATCTTCGTCGAGTAGTGTACATTAGCTATGTATTGAGTAATATAAATTTATCAATAAAACAACTAATTGCTTAATAACAATTCACATTCAAAACTGTCGACGTCTGTAATATTTTCATTTATTTAAAATTTACTAGTGGTTGAGATGATATTATTTATAATTTTTGTCCTCTTGGGCATTATTATTCGCACCCATACTGAAATAGTAATGCTAATTAAAATATTTAATTTGGCCTATCAAAAGCATCGGTAATTTGTAATTGGATCAGAATTACTAGTGACTAGTGTCCATTGGGAATAAGAAAATTTAATGAAGTAATGAATATTTACCTCAGGTGCACGCAATTCGGGAATGTTAGAGACATCGTTGATTTCGTCATCGTTGGCGTCCTCAGCATCAGCGTTAGAGCCGGCGTCGGCATCCTCAAGATCAGACTCATGCTCACTTGAAATATCCTCCTCATCATACTCAACTTTCCTCGACTTATTCTTCCCCTTCTTTGTAGCTGGATTTTTCCTCTTGGACGACATTATCAGTCTGATATGAATTCACTTAAAACCTATGATCTTAATCCTGTTAGCTTTTATTAATTTAATATAGGTAAAACCAAATGAAAAATCGATTTGGTAGAAGTACTTTTTTCACCCAACACACAAATATTACAAGTGTGTATCAAACTGCGGTGGTTATGCTCGACGCTAATCGCTTGGGTTCCCAACACCAATACCATTACATTATCCACAAACACATATGAAGTTTCTTCCCTTTATATTTCGTGGGTTTCCTTTTTTTTTCTTCACCCCCTCCCAAAGCTTTTCTCTCATACATCTGGATTATGACTTTACATTGGTGTTGGTTGAGGGAGAGGGGAGGATAGGGAGAATTCGGTGAACGTTTGCTTGAAAGGCTCGAAAGTTGAAACCTCCTGACGCCCCATCGTTACAGGGGTTGAGCAACCAAGAGGGGCTTTTGTTAACACTGGAAATATTCAAGCCATTCAACACAACTATGACACTAGGCAGTTGATGGAAATATCGGTTTCTGTATCATCTCTTTTATTTTTATTCTACCTCTCATGGTAAGATAGGTTCCTTGAGGGCGGGAAACCTGTTGGGATTCCCTGTTTTCGAAGTTGCCTTTTGCTTTGAGCAATGATTTTTCGGGTTATCTCTGTTTTTTCTGGGTGAAGATGAAACTGAAAAGCTGGACGGAAAGAAAAACTAGTAATACCACAAGACCTTCGAATTATCAGTTATCTTCTGATAGGTTTGTTGTCTGTGATAGATCGGGTCAAATTTTCCCGGTTGGGAATGCCAAATGCATCAGGTGTTTTTCTGATTAATTTGATAGGGTTATTCGCAAATAGAGAAGTTTCGCGGGAAATATCCGATTAATTCTGAGGCACCAGTGATATTTGATGGATTATTTTTCCACTCAAATTTCACCAAGTGGAGCGCAGAAAATGGTATTTAAATTAATTTTCTCAATCATGCAGAGAAACAGGACTCTCGAAGAGCTAGTTTGATAATTGAAATTCAATCATTAAAAAAAAAAATTATAAATAATGAACGAAATTTATTTTAAGTGGAATATCTTCAAACCAACACATTTTGCAATTACGTTATGAATAAACTACTTATTTATGAATCTGTCACACAGAATATGCAACAGGAAATGCGTTTAAAGGTGACAAATATTTAAAAAGTTACTAATTCAATTTTCCATCTTAATTTTCTTCGAAATTCCCGAAATCAAACTGTTCGACAGCTTCGAATACTCCGCTCTAATAGACATCGTCTATGTATCGTAGCTCTTGT